CTGGGAATTCGCCCTGCCAGGAGGAATCAGCTGCAGGAGAGGTGAGCCACCATAGAAAAGCTGACTCCAGACAATAAGCTTGGACTGAGCACCTGAAGGTAAAACACTAATAAGTTCATAAATATGGCCTTAATTACTTCAAAGACCCAAAGAAATTGTGCAGCTTGGCACGGGAGCCCTGGAGCATCCTCAAGCCAGTATCCCCAAACCCTGGGAAGGGAAATCTCAAGCAGAGGGGAAATAAATCTTCAAGCAGGGGTCTCCACACTAGTGGGATCTAAACAACTGTTTCAGGAGGATTATTAGAAATTATGGAGAAGGAGGCTTTCTCACAACCGTATCTAAACAACACAGAGCCCTGGGATGTTTCATCCTCTAAGGATCTTGAGCTCCAGGGAAAAAACACACACAACAGGCCTGTGCCTGGCAAGGCTTCAAAAGTGCTGTAGGCTGGGGAAACCTTGGGGCTGCTTGTAATAAAATTCTAGAAACTCCAAACAGTCCTCCCTTATGTGCTAGCAAACAACAGTTTACGAGCACGAGAATGCTGTGTATAAAAACTGGGTGCTAAGTAAATAAGAACTGCAAGAGCATGGGGGACTTAAAAGTTAACACCGGGATATTAAAATACAAAAAAGTATGCAAAGCCTCAGATTGCACTTATGTGTTCATGAGGACTCTCTAAACATCCTGGAGCACTTGGCTCTAATGGCCTAAATCCCAGGAAATGCTGCTAAAATATGGTATCAAAACATTTACTTTTTTCTTCAGAAAGATTCCCCTTTGTGCCTCATTTTACTGCAATTTGAGAATGTCAAACACAGTGGGGGCTGTTGCTCATGTGCATGACCTGGGTTATCCTAGAAAAATAAGTTCGTTTCCTTTTTTTTTTTTTTTAATATGTTTTTTTAATAGTTGTCTTCTCCTGGGCACTGGCAAGGATGAGCAAGACCTGGCTTGGATGCCTCAGAGTCTGCCACATCTGTGCTCAGAGGATGGCCCAGCACACAGTGTGTTGTAGTAGGAGTCTGATGGAGACCACTTGATGAAGGAGAGGAGGTGGATGAAGTTTACTTCAGGCACTCGGAGAAATCCTCACAGCCACAGGCCTGAGAGAGCAGCGTGGCTGGGCATGACCACCCCAAGAGGTTTCTGGAAAGGTTTGAAGGCAGTTCCCTGATAGAGGTGCTGAATGAACCAAGTAGGAGAGATGATCTTTTGGACCCACTGCGCAAACACGGAGAGGAACTGGCTGAAAATGGGAAGGATGGAAGCAGCACTGTCCATAGGGTCCACAAGGCTGTGGCACTAAAGGTGGTGAGAGAAGCCAGCGAGGCGAAGAGCAGAATTACAACCCTGAACATCAGAGGAGCGAGGGTTTGCCTGTTGCGGTGAAGGAATACAAACACACTGTACAAACTGATTCAGGAAGTCACGTCCCTGGAAATGTTCAAGGTTGGACAGGGCTCGGAGCAAACTGGTCTAGTGGAAGGTGTCCCTGATGGGGTGGAACGAGTTGAGCTTTAAGGTCCCTTCCAACCCAAACCGTTCCTTGGTTCTGTGATTAGGACGCAAGAATTTCAGAAAATGGCAACTATAAAAGGGCGTAAAATCCATCCTTCTGTTTGTCATCAGTGAAAATGCTGAGAATCTCAGCCACATACTTACAAACACTTGAAAACCAGCAGTCATTGTTTTCACTAAGCATTTAACAATCTTGGCCTCGTTTTCGGTTCTCTGCTCACATTTAGAAAACAAGACCCTTGGAGAGGAATGCACAATGTCAGAATCCTGTGAAGGGTGGATGCAGTTGCAGACAGACACAAAGAAACTACAGTAGCTGTTTTGCAGAGAACCCATAAAGCTGTTTCAGATGGTTTAAAACAAGAAGATCACATTTTACTGGGGGCTACAAGTCAGATGTGAAAGAAAAAAAAAAAGGAGGAGATACACAGTTTACAAAAGAACAACCAAACATACCATAAATCACATTTAAGTTTACAGGGGGAGATAAATGAACTAGTAGCCATCTGTGCCTTACTTCAAACTCTATACAGTCACAGAGGAGAGCAGACAGTCCAGCATCTTTCTTTCTGCTCTTCGTCTTCTTCCATTTCACCTCTCACCATTTAAAATGCAAGGGGATGCTAAATATCTGTTCACTATCTGGTTTGTTCTGTGAGCAACAATAATAATTTCTGGGTCAGACAGACCCCCACCATAGGGGGTGAGCAACTAATCCATATCCGTGCACATTCTCTGCAAAGATCTTTACATGAAATTTGCAGTTCCACTGAAGAGAGAAAAAAAAAGAAAGGGAATTTATTTGAGGATTGGGAAGAGGAGCTAAAGAGAGGACAGAGATAGTGAATGGAGCTCCCATAAGTGAAGGGGAGTGACTGCTCACCTGGACAGACCTCCCTATATATATATACACACACATATAAATATATACACATATATATATACACACATATATATATGAGATGCATAGGTATATGAGATAGATAGACAGATAGATAGATATGAGGTATATAGGTATATTTTATATATATATAACTATATATGTATTTATATGTACAAAAGAGGATCACTGCACACAGAAAGATTTGTCTTTGCTCATCTCGAGTCCCTTTACTAAGAAGAAAGAAGACACCAGATAAAATTTTGGTACTGTCTCGAAAAGTTCCTGCCCCAACATCCATTTTCCTCCAGAGCTTCCTATGTTCTCAGCCCATTTTTAAGAAAAAAACTTCAATTAGAGAGAACTAGCTCAGACCTTTCATGCCACCAGCTATAAAACAAGATTGTAAAAAAGCCCAACTTATCCAAAAAAAGGAAGCAGCATGTTCTGAGGTTATTTTGTCCCAGTTTCTGTGTAAACAAGACAAACTCACCACCTCTGCCCCAGCATAAGACATGAACTTGCCAGATGACAATGGTGTGCAGATTATGATATTCCTACAAATGTCATGAAAATGGATGCCCAGGTAGGTGAGAAAGACCAAGTTTGCCTTTTTTACGGAGGGAAAACATGCAGTAGGGGGTTGTTCCATGAACTATACAGGAATTGTCACAGGGACAATGCATTATGTCATGTCAAGCTGCAAGGAAAGGTTTTGATTTGACATGAGAAAGCTCAACAAGCACACATAGAAAGTTAAAAGTCTGTAGGTTGTTCGCTCGAGAAACTGCAGGGAAAAGACAGTGCTCACCCGTCTGGGAGGAGGAAGAGGGAGATACAGAGGTGTGGGTCCATGCTCTGCTCCTTCCCACACCTCGGGCACTCACCAGCAATGCAAGAGAAAGATGTGCTCTACAGTTGGTTGTGATAAGGCTTTCTGCTGGAGAAACAGCTTCTGCAGGGGCAGATCTACCTAGAAATAGCTGTATTGAAGGTGGGTTGGCAGCGTTGATTGGTGCTCGTGGACGTAACAGAGCTTGGACACTGCAGCAAAGCAAGCAGAAGAAATGCTTGGAAGGTGACGTGTTCACTGGATTACTGGAAGGTGGATGGTTTGAGAGATTGATGGTTGGAGACTAGACATGTCACATAACTGTCTGATAATTCACCGCCATCAGAAGCTGGACCCCCCCCTTTTCACCGATGATGCTCCTGAGGAAAAGGGACCATCCCATTTAGAGCTGCAGGAGAGTTCCTGGAAAGCAGCAGCCCCACAAAATCATTCTTTTGCTCTTCCAGGGAATCATTGAGAAATTCCTTGTTTCTCAGGTATGTTTATTCTTCACTGACCACTTGCTCCAGAATGAGTTCTGATTCTATCACGGGGCTTTGAGATGAACAGGAAACAGGCCCATAAAATACTGGCTTACAGCTGTGGTTTCCATAGGTGCTGCTCGAGTATCACAGAATCATGGAATCATTGAGGTGGGAAAAGACCTGTAAGATGATCGACTCCAGCCATAAACCCAACACTGCCAGTTCCACCAGAGAACTCTTGGTGAAGATGCTGACAGAGGATACTCTAGAAATGCACCTTTGTAAGCACTGGCAGTGACACAGAATTGGGTTTATTATTTTCACCTGGTAGTTCAGGTGTTTTTGCAAACACCAAGAGCCTGAGCAACATGTTCCTGTCCATCAGGATTGATGGGTTGGCAGCTTACTCTGAGATCTTTTGAGGCACATCCTTTGCTTTTGTCACTGCTTGGCAGTCAGTAGAGTGAAATTGGGTTTCCCCTTAGCAATTGCCTTGTCTGTGGCAGCTGTGGCCTGATCCTGGTACCTTCACACTGTCCATTTACACAGAGGTTTGGAGAAAAAGTCACAGTTCAAGGGATAACAGGTTGTGTTCCTGAAAGTCATTGCTGTTCTCCAAATTTGTTGTTGGGATATTTGCCCCATTTTTCATTTAGCGGAGCAAAAAATAACAGTGTGTGAAATTAAAAATAATTATAAAAATACAATAACAACAAAACCCTAGATTTCAAGGAGCACTTGGACAACAGTCCCAGGGACATGGTGAGAATTTTGTTCTACTGTGCAGGGCCAGGAGCTGGACTCAATGATCCTTGTGGGCCCCTTCCAACTCTGGATGTTCTATGATTCTATGAACCCAAACCCAGAAAAGAATCAATAGAAATAGGTAATACTCAGACTTGGATGACTCTGACCAAGACTTGGATATTTGCAAAGGCAATGATTCTGTGATTCTATGCACGCTGCTCTTTTTTGAAATGCTCTTGTTTTTTATTTGTTCCACTCAGGACACGTTACTAGGATGGAAAGAGAAGTAGGACGGCAGGAGGGAAGAAAGAGAAACACTATTTGATGGTATAAATATGTGGGGCTGAAATGCCAACCACGAAAAGGGGCCTCCCATCATGGAAAAATGAGACTTCCAGTTTATGTAAAACAAAGATGCCTTCAGCTCCAGAAGGGACAACCTCGCCCCAGCCCAGCCCGAGCTGGGGGCGGGGGGGAGTGGATGGGAGGGGATCCTCCCAGGTCTCGGTAGACCCACAGTGACTCTCCGTGGATGTCTGGAGCTACTGCAAATGAGACTCTGCCTGATTTTGGAGGAGGAGGAACTCAGAGGGCAGTTCCAGACGGCCAGGGAATAGCGGGACTGGGCTGGAGACGCCTCCGCTGCTCCTCCCGCTCCTTCACCCCGCACATCCCAGCACCCAGAGCCACCCTCCGGCCGGGGATGCGGGAGCCTTTCTGACACCAGCCACTCCACAAAGTCTTTTTTCCTTACGTTTCAGAGGGGTTTTGGAGGAGAAGTTTTGATGACCCCATTTTCCAGGTAGGCAGAATTTTTCTCTCCTCGTACAGCAGTCATGCAGCTACTTACTGACAGATGTCCAGCTGGGAATAACATAAATCCCTCTGAAATTCCATCCTGTGCCTGCTGCTGTTCGCGGGCTCTCCAGCAAGGTGCCCACTTCGGGCTTATCACATTTAGACAGTACCTGCTATAAAAGAATATATATTTTTCCTTTACTTTCAGCTCTTGGCTACTTGGGTGTTTTTCCAAGAGTTTGGGGTTTTTTTCAGGTGCAAGCAGTGTGGGCCACAAGCTATCATCTGCCAGGGCCAGAGGTGTAGAAAATCCCTCGGGGGGGAAGGGTTGGATTTATTGAACCAAAGTCTTCTCTGGGGTAACTGAGCTGAGTTCAGCAGTGACACTGAAATGATGGCAGCAGGAGTAGCAGGGCAGAGCGACTGGTCTGCTGTGTGATTCCCCTTAGATTTTGGGGATTTTGGAAGATATGAATTAGACTAACCTGTGGCCCGTGCCTCCTAGTTGTGCTGAATTACATCAGCACAGGCTCCTCTATTTTGGGAGGTAACAGCACGTTCAGGAATGCTTGCGAGCTCGTTGCACTTGGTGGCAGGGGTTTCCTCCCCCCAGCCTTCCTGCAGCCCAGGCTTTCCCTGGCTCTGATCCCAGGACAGTTACATTAGGAGACATGGAGAATATCTGGGGTCCCTGTAGCTTTTGGGGAACCTTCCCTCTGGGTTCTCTGCCCAGGGACTTAAAGTACAGGGCACGTTTGGGTAGTGACAGCAACTAACACTGAAATTCCCTCCTTGTGCAGTGTGCAAACCATGGACACACAAACAAGGAGGAAGAGGAGGTGCATTCGTGAGAGTTTTGTTCCAAATGGGACATATTTTTCTTTTCCAGTTTTGTTTAGCAAACATTTGAGTGGAAAAAGTGCTGCATGCACAAGTGAATGGCACCACAGGCAGTGCCTGCTGGGCATGGCCATGGAAAACATTGGGCTTGAGCAGCAGGGAGATTTCAAACTTTATTCTGCATATTTTAGCCGTAGCCAGCATAATTCTTCTTTCATGAGAGTAAGCTGTTTGTGTGGCTTTTAATTTGTGTGACTTTAAATAAGCTCCTTGCAGGCAGAGTTAGCTTAGAGAGTAGAGCATCTAAATTTTTGTGAATTTGGGATCAATTTGCTCAGGTGTTCTGGTGTTGGAGGAGAAATACACAGTGCACCAGGAAGAACTTCAGGAATATCAGTGTGTGGGAGAAGTCAGACCATGGTTCTGCCTTGCCAGGTGCATGAGGTGACCTTTCTACTGCATTAGAATCTGATTTATCTGGCAATCAGGTGTGAGACTGCAAATAAGCCAGATATAATTGGCACATTTCAGTCATTGCAAGTAATTTGTCTGCCATAATATTACATTTGGTTCAGTTGCTCAGGGTGGGAAGAGAAGCAAGCAGAGAACTCGGGTCCTCCTGCAAGGCCGCTTTTTCTTGCAGTCTCTGTCCAGATAAATCCATATGTTTTTCAGTTATGTGTGTAACAGCCAGGTCACCTGGGATCTGAGTGTGGGAACAGCAAAGGCCATGCATTTTTCTGCTGAGCACCTGAGCATACACCCTGATACAGGGAGGATGGTGCAAAGCAGTGACTTCAAAATCCATTCAGAGGACCCACTGCTTGAGATTCCCTGTTGTTTTTTCTCTCGTGTGCATCTCATGGGGAAAGAAATGAATCACTCAAAAATACAAATACTGAGAGAAGGCCTTGTAGGAACAATATCCTGCTGTGGCAGAGAGAGAAAGGTCAAGGAAAAACAAGATGGGCAGACCCAAGTATTCAGACACAATTAGTCAGCTCCCAGTTTGCTCTTTCTATTAGTTTTTTGGGCTGTGTGTTTTCAAAAATTGCCTTCAGCATCCAGAAAAAAAGTTAGTCTGAAATACTGTTGAAATCTGAGTTTTCCATCTCAGCGTTTTGCAGCAGCAGGTGAGACTTTAAGTCAAATGTCAAATGTTATGAGATTTGCAACAGCATCAGAGCAGCTGAGGATAACAAAATAGGCACTATTGCCCACCCTAGACTTGGAGAGCCATTAGGTGGGCAGAGGAGTTCCCAGCAGTTGCCCCACTGCGTATCCACCGAGGTTAAGACCAGGAGAGATGCTGGTAGGGCAGAAGAATAATGTAGCTCAAGGTGCAGAGTGGAATAGAGGAGACTGTGCAAGAGGACCACAGAGAAGTGAGTTGTAACTCGTGTTCTGAGGTGTAGTGTTCCCGCCTCTCCATTCTGCCCGTGTAGAGCCCAAGGTCATGGTGTTTCAGTGACCCAGACCCAAGCCCCGAGGGCTGCAGGCAGAGGCCATCCTGTGCCAGAGCTGGCCCTGGTTGCCCGTGCAGTTTAACTGCTCGCCACGGCTCTGCCTGGAGAGCGGCTCTGCCGTACGGCGCCTTCCCGCCCACACGCACAGAGGGAGGGAAGGAGGGAGAGAGGGAGGTGATTAAACCCGGGTCGGCATGATGAGTCAGACACTTGGCCAAAGCCTTCAGCACTCCCAGCCTCTCCAAAAGTTATTGTCTCCATCTTCCTCAGCTAAAGGCTGGCTCTAAAATGGTGCTGGCTGAAGGCACCAAGCTGTTGTGCCCTACAGAAGATTGGGATCTCCTGCAGCTCTGTTTTATGGGGGGCAAACAAGACAAGGAAAGCCCGCAGTAAGGTTAGAGGTATGAAGTCTTGATCTTAAGTAAAACAACCCTTTAGCATTAAAGTATTTTATCCTTACAATACCCCTTCTATTCTTTGCAGCACAACAAAACTTATGACCTATGCAGGGACTTAACAGAATCACAAAATGATTTGGGTCGGAAGGGACCTTAAAGCCCATCCAGTCCCACCCCTTGGCACGGGCAGGGACACCTTCCATAGACCAGGTTGCTCCAGGCCCTGTCCAGCCTGGCCTTGAACACTTCCAGGGATGGGGCAGCCACAGCTTTTCTGGGCAACCTGGGCTAGGGCCTCACCACCCTCACAGGGAAGAACTTCTTCCCAATGTCCCATCTAACCCTGTTCTGTGGCAGTATGAGGTCATTCTCCCTTGTTCTGTCACTCCAGGCCATTGTCCAAAGTCCCTTTCCAGCTCTCTTGGAGTCCCTTTAGGCACCGGCAGGTGCTATAAGGTCACCCCAGAGCTTGCTCTTCTCTAGTCTGAACAACCCCAATTCTTTCAGCCTTTCCCCACAGAAGAGGTGTTCCTTCATGAGGCCGCAGTCATGTCTCTTTACAAACAGCTTTGCAGCCACTCTGAGTTGGAGGGGGAGGAAAAGGACACACTCATTGGGGACGTTTGGGTGCTGAGATGGAGACATGCGAGAGGCCCTTGATGTCAGAGGGCTTTGCTGAGCCCTGTCAAGCACCTTAAGTTGGTGTTCCCAAAGCTTTGGATTTCTTCTCCCACTGTGGAGGTCAAAAACTAAATGATCCCAGGTTGGGGGTAGAAACTGGAATCTTTATTGATCACAGGACTCGCAATATAAGGGTCTTGGAGGCAGGACATGTTAATGAAGAGGTTGGGTTATGCTAAGTAGGGGATGGATTATGCTAACTAGAGGATTACACAATTCTCTGCTACAATTACACATAGTGGTCAATATTTCCCGAAGCAAGGAACCACAGGGGGGGAGAGAACAAAAGGGTTTCTGCATTGTCTAAGAACATCACCACAAAGTCTTTCCATATCTTGCTGAAGGAGACAGGGCAATCAAACATAGACAGGGCAATCAAACATAGCTGAAGGTTAACAAGTCTTGTAATGAGGCTCCTCAGAGTAAGGAGTTTCTCCCAGCTCCTGCTGTCCGTGGCCTGCTACATAATCCCATCAACTCCTTCTCTGCTGATAGCTGAGCCCCGGATCCCAACATCCCACCCACCCAGGAGATCTCCAAAGAGCAGCAGCATTTCTTCTTGCCCCAGTTAAGATCTGGCCTAAGCCCTAGCGAGGAGGAAGGCTGGTGCTGTTGTGGGGGTATCAGCAGCACTGACACCACTGACCTTTCCAGCATAAACCAGTTTGCAGAACCCTGTGGTGCACAGCAGCTGGCAGTGTAAACTGGAACGGGACATGTCCCACCAGGCACTAGCTTGTCACCATGTGAACAGAGGTCTCAAGAGAAGCAGGGAGGGCCGAGCTACCTGTATTCTTCAGGCAGTTTTTTTTCTCATGCAGCCGAAGCAGCAAGCCAGCTGCATTACTTGCCCTCCCCCTGGACTGTCAGTGCCACCAAATGCACTCTTAGTGTCCCTTCAAGCCTTGGACTCTTCCAGAAGTTACCAAAAAAACCATTCAAAAAAGAAGCTCTCTTTCTTGACTGGATTTAGGTCTTTTTTTTTCATAACAGACATTCCTCTTTTTGTTTTGTGTTGATTTGACCTCCATGCAGAGAAGCATCTATGGGCCACCAAGGGGCCATGCTGTTTAGTTCTAGTGTCCTCTAGACATAAAGCTGAGCATCACCTCTTCCTCCATATGCTGGTGACAAGTGTCACTTGAGTGTTGCCTGTGAATGTCCTTTCAAAGCTTGGGTTCCTTTGTACACATACATACATTCCCAAGAACTTTTCAGGCCAGATCTCTTAACTCTTCTGCTGCTTTAAGTTATCATAACCCTACATGAAATGCACTCCCATGTGCAGCTGGACCTTGAACACTAAAGATGGTCACTTTTTGAAGTGGTTGTTTATTTGGCCCTTCACTCCATGGGTTGTGAGGGCTACAAAGCAGTGCTATCGAGCAAAGACTTTTGTACCCTTTCAGTATACACGGGCATCACCACCCACATGGTGACCTGGAGGTGAAAAGGACCTGCTGCACACACATACGCTGGTGGTCTGGCCAGGCAGGTGAAGAGAGAGGAACATGGATGTGTTGGCATCTGTGTGGATCAGGGGTGACGGAGCCAGCGCGGGCAGGGAGTGGTCAGGCACACACCTGGAGAGAAAGCATGGAATTGGAAGGTCCTGATGCACTCTTCATAGTTCCACCACATAATCCCTCCCTTCAGACCGGCAGAGAAGCTAAAGCAGTTTTCAATAATTCATGCTCCAGTAAAGGAAATATTTTAAATCACCTAGCTTTCAAGTCACTATGAAAATCTACATTAGTGGCCCAGTGATGTGCCCCAGTGAAAGAGAAGTCTTGTTTGTCACAGACAGGGTTTACAAGGAGCATTGACTGGCTTCTGTCATCCCAGCAGAGTTAGGAGGTTGTGCATCATGTTTAACATGTAACTTGTGTTTTCCCACAGGTATCTGAATACCCTGAGGGACTGCTGAGATGTTCCCACAAGCCTTGTTTTCCACTCTCCTTTGTGTGGCTTTAGTTCCTCTACACGCTCAGCTTGATGTGGATAATGGAGACGTCAGTCCTGTTGCCTGTGCAGGTATTAACCCAAATAATTTGAGTCACCTTTATGGGCAGCAATTTCAACAAAAGCAGTGGCCATGATGAGTTGTAGAACCTGCTTGCAAGGAACTGACAGTGGGGCATTCCGCCTCTCCTGCCCCTTTGCACTCCTGTGGTGACAATCCATCTGTAGGGAACACTGTCCTCCACCCAAAATCACAATTCTGGGTTTGCATTGGACTGCAGAGAGGTAGAGATGGAAGAGCTGGGGTCTGCCAGTGGAGATGGAAGAGCTGGGTGGGGTCTGCCAGTGGTGGCCTCTCCCAGCAGATATAGTGACAAACACCAGTTCAGTCTCCAGCACTCAGCTCTCTATCTGATGCCATAAAATTGTTCGCTTTAGATGTGATGATTTCATCACTTTTCAGTTGCGATGCAGAGGTAATTTACTTGTCCAATCTGACTGCTACAAAAAATAGCAAGATTTTCAAGATTGATTCAGTACTGAGCAGTGCTGTGTTAATGGTTGGAGTCGATGATCTTTGTCGATGGTTTTTTTCCAACCTTAAGGATTTTGTGGTTCTGTAGCAGATCTTAGAATTTAGAAGTCCTGGGCACTGGGGAGCCATCTAACCCAAACACAGATGTCAGTTCTAGAGCTAGGTGGGACTTGTGCTTTTTCCAGGATTGCGCTCGGTCCGGGTTTCTGGAGGACAGTGCAGGGGGGTGCATGAAGTGCTCTGACATGGTCTGAATAATTGTCTCCATGCAGAAAAGAGGAACTGCCCCATCAACGTCTACTTCATCATTGACACCTCAGAGAGCGTTGCTCTGCAGACTGTGCCCATCCAGAGCCTCGTGGACCAAATAAAGCGGTTCATCCCTGTGTTCATCGACAAACTGGAGAGCGAGCTCTACCAGAACCAAGTCTACATCACCTGGCAGTTTGGTGGGCTCCATTACTCAGATGTGGTGGAAATTTACAGCCCTTTAACAAGCAGCAAAGACATTTACCTGCCCAGGCTGTCCGCTATCAACTACCTTGGCCGGGGCACCTTCACGGACTGCGCCATCTCCAACATGACGCAGCAGATCCAGACCCAGATGGCCACCGGTGTGAACTTTGCCGTGGTCATCACCGACGGCCACGTCACCGGGAGCCCCTGTGGGGGGATGAAGGTGCAGGCCGAGAGGGCGCGGGACATGGGGATCAGGCTCTTCGCGGTGGCCCCCAGCGAGAAGGTCTACGAGCAGGGGCTGCGGGAGATCGCCAACCTGCCGCACGAGCTGTACCGCAACAACTACGCCATCACCCAGAGGGACACGCTGGACATCGACGTCAACACCATCGACAGGATCATCCAAGCTATGGTACAGGCCGGGGGGGGGACAAGAGAAGCAGTCCCTGGACGTGGGGATCATTTACCCCTGCGTTGGGTTTTTGGCCGGGCTCTGGAGGGCACCTCTAGCAGGGAAAATGGAGTCTTCTTCTGGTACTTAACCAGGACTCCTTGGTTTGTGCCTCTTGTTTCCTGGCACGTCTGGGCAAGCTGCCACCCTAGTCCTGGCTCTTGCTGAAGACCAGACCCATACCCTGTCCTGCTCCACATCCAGGGGCACGTGGAAGAGTGTGCCACACTGAGACACATGCTCACCATCAGCGTGGTCTCTGAGACCCCACACATGAGGCACTGTTAATGGGGGGCTCTGCTGAGAACATCTTCGCAGCCATGGGGCCTTTACCACCTCGTCTACCTCACCATCACACGGCCCTCCGAGGAGGGGTGGGATGCTGTCTTTCCCTTGGGGCTGACCACCTTAACTGATTCTCTTCATCCTGTTCTCTCCTTTGCAGAAACACGAAGCCTACGGTGAGGTGAGTGAGCAGCATCTTTATGCCTGTGCCCCACGACACAGGTTTAAGTTGCCTCAATTAGAGAAGACCAGCTCGTACCCCAAAACAGCAGGACCTCTGTGGGATGGGTCTCTGCCCACCTGTGGATCAGTGCAGAGTCTGGGGGCACATCCCCTTATCCAGTGGTTATAATGCCACACTGGACTCCCTCCCTGCCTCCCCCTCACCTGTAATGAGTTCAGGTCCATGGTATAGACTCATTTCATCGCTTTGGAACCACGTTCCCGTTCTGTAGGTGCTGCACAAGCTGAAGCTCCTGCCCTGCTGGTACCACAGGGACAGGGTTTGGCATACAGAGGGAGGAGTATGCAGGTGATGGTCCAAAGGGCATGCCTGTGCCCTGATGACCCCAGATGAGCAAGCCCCCACCACCTCTGATGCTTGGCAGTCCTGTTCTTCCTGTCTGGGCTCAGAGCCAAGCTGTAATGAACCTGCTCATGGAAACTTTCTGCTCTTAATTGACAGGCAGCACTTCTCAGGGTGCTTGGTGCTGCCTCAGCCCTGGCACAGCTGGAACCACAGTAGATTTTAGCCCTGAGTTCATGAGAAGAGGCGTGTGGAAAGCTATGGGTGCAGGGACGAGCTGGGTTTTGGATGCACATGAAGCAGTGGCATGCTGTTTAATCAAACACCTCCTGTTTAATTCTTTGTATTTCAGTGCTACAAGATGAGCTGCCTGGAGATTGCAGGACCACCTGGTCCCAAGGGATACCGAGGGCAGAAGGTAAGTTGCTCTAAGCTGTGGGAAAGACAATAACGCCCATGCCTGCCACAACCACTGCAGGATGCCCTAGACCCCAGCTCAGCTGCCTTCTCAGGTCGCCCTCAGGTGGTAAATAACTCACCAGCATCTGTCTTGGCCCTGGGAGGCACAGTAACACACAGCCAGCACTGGTGTGCCCATGTCTGTGCCAAGGTTGCCAGCAGTGCAGAGGGACATCCGAGCACCTGCTCTGCACCTCCAGCACCCAAGGACAGCAGGAGCAAGGCAGCAACTGTCCCTGAGTTTCCCACTCTCAGGAGCAGAGCTCTCATCTCACATCCACAGTGTCCCACTGTCCTGCCCCAGCTCTGTGTGCTCCTGTCCCCATACAGTCTTTCCCTGACTTCCCCAGAATAAGGGAGGTCCTGCTCTGTTCAAGCAGCTGCAGGGAGCAGGATGCTCCCAGAAACTGCCATTTTCTCAGTCATCACCAAGCCTGGACTTACATTCACTTTTTCTTTCCTTAGGGTGCAAAGGGGAACATGGGTGAGCCAGGCTCCCCTGGGCTGAAGGGACGACAGGTGAGTTGTGGAAAATCCTCCCCTCCCTTTGCTGGGGCTACATCTCTGATGACATCAAGCTAACTCTCCGCGTCTTCCTCCCTGAAGGGCGACCCAGGTATTGAAGGTCCCATCGGATATCCTGGTCCCAAGGTAAGAATCCCATAGCCAACGGCTGAGCTCTTTGCATGGTGAAGAAGGGGGAGCTTTGCTTCTCCCTCTTACCTGCCCATTTCCCAACCCAGACCCCTGCGCTCTGCTGCCTCCATTCCTGGCGTTTTCCCAGGCGCTAACACAGCAATTTTCTTCTTCTTTTTTCTGTTTGTCTTTTCTTCGTCTAGGGTGTCCCAGGGCTGAAAGGAGAGAAGGTGAGAAAGAAGAGACAGAATGGCTGGCTGGGCACTTGGCGGAGGCTGTGCTCCTTTCTGATGCAAAGAGGGAGAGATCAGCTGTAATGGGGAAGGACAACAACCCTGTAACACCGTAATTGCAGCCATGGGGAGGGATTTCCAAGGGCATCCCAAAGCCTGTCTCCTCCTTCAGGCATTGCTCACTGTGCGGTAAAGTGGTGATGATTTTAGGATGCAAATGGGTGGGCGGTGTAGGCAGTGCCTGACTTCCTGTCCTGTTTTTCTCCCAGGGAGAAATCGGATCCGACGGACGGAGGGTAAGAAAAGACATTTTCTAACTTGCATGTTGTTCCAGCTACCAACCCTTGGCGTGTGTGTTAATAGATCCCTCTTTTTTTTTCCCCCCCGATCGCAGGGTGCCCCTGGTTTGGCAGGCAGGAACGGCACTGATGGACAGAAGGTAACCGGGAGCACTGGGAGCAACCCCATAATGTCGCTGCTGCTGTTTCATTTCTTTACCCTCTCTCATCCCCACGGGCTGTTTAGTTTCTCCTATGCCACACGCTGGCTTTCTGTTCTGAGATTTCTCTGACCTTATTTGCGCACTATTCTGCACGTCCTGTAGAAATACACGAAGTAATTCGGGTTGTAGAAGTGAATCATAGAATATCCTGAGTTAGAAGGGACCCACGAGGATCATCGAGTCCAACTCCTGGCCCTGCACAGGACACCCCAACAATCCCACCACGTGCCTGAAAGCATTGTCCAAACACTCCTTGAGCTCTGCCAGCCTTGGGGCTGTGACCACTGCCCTGGGGAGCCTGTGCCAGTGCCTGACCTCACTTTTGGGGGAAGAACCTTTCCCTAATATCCAACCTAATCCCTTCCGACACAGCTTCATGCCGTTAAGTGTTGTCCCTCTGTCAGCAAGCTCTCTGCAGAACCTGGATGTGTAACCTGCTCTGTGCTCAGGCTGAGGAGGTGATAGGGCCGGATAACTTGTGTGGAGATACCTTACCTTGGGTGTTAGTGACCCCTACAGGACATGGACACAGAAAGCTTTGCAGAAATTTGCTTTTCAAGGCAGTCACAGAATCTGAGATTTCATCTCTTAACTACTGCTTGTTCTTAGTCTTAAAGCCCTAAAGCCAAGTTCAAGGGCCTCGCAATGAAGTCCCTGGCTTTGTCCACTGGCCATCACATGCTGGCTTTGCTCTGCACCATCTCATATACCCAGCCCAATATACCTGTGAGGTAATAGCAGTTCTTCCTGTTCCTCAAACGCCTGCTGAAGCTGGAAAACAACCTTCGGTCCCCTCTACTCTCCAAAACACTGAAGCCCTTCAGTCTCCCCCGTTCTCTATCCGGGACGAGCTGTCTCAGCACTCATGACAAAGCTGTTTTGGGGCACAGAGCACGGCAGTCCCCCTCTCACGGCGTCCCTCAGGCAGTGTGGTTGCTGCACACCTGAGCTGCTCTGACATGAGATGCATGGGAGAGGACAACCATGGACCTGGGTGACCACCAAATCCAGCCTCAAGGGACGTTTCCATCACCCAGGGCACGTGTGCAGGATGAGCATGCCTGAATTCCCACTGCTACTCAGGGCTTTACACTGCTTTCTCCTTCTCCACTTGTCTCTGCACACCCCACTTCTGTTTAAGGAATACACTTGCTATTTATTATCTAGCTGGTGACAGGTAAGGTCAGCAGATGATGCTAAAAGTTATTAACTGTTAACCAGAAAAGCTGTGTTTTCCTTCAGACACCTACAACTTCTCAGTCTTTTTCTTTTGAATGCAATCTCTCCAGGGCAAGCTGGGGAGAATTGGACCACCGGGATGCAAGGGTGACCCTGGTGACAAGGTAGGAACCCATCAAACTCATCAGCACATCAGTTGTGTAGCTGCTGAGTGAGTTACATATGTGGAGAGATGGCCAATGAGAGGTTACTGGCCTGTTTTTCTGCCAGCTGATCTGATTCCAGAGCTGGGATCCCTGGAATGGGGAGCACAGCCTGATTTTTCTGTGCCTCCTTTCCATGTATAAGTAAGCTGGGAGCCCCCAGTGTCCCTCCCCTCCACAGAGAGAGGAGGAGCTGCCCCCTTCATCAGCACTGCAACAAGCAAAAATTACTTTGGTCTCTAGAGCAACTTTCTAAGCACTGGCTTAGACAATTTATTTTATTAGAAATTTTTATTTTATTTATTTTGCAGGGAAAGTGTTCCCACTCTAAAATGTGTGGTTCTTTGTCATTTCCCTCCCCAGGGCCCTGATGGCTACCCAGGAGATGCAGGAGACCAAGGTGAAAGAGGAGATGCAGGCATAAAGGTACAAGTGCTCTGGACAGACAGCTGAGTGTGGGCAGAGGCCACCAGTGGGGACAGCTGAACACCATTCCTTGTATTTATTTAATCCTAAATCCTACGCTGCTCATGGAGCCCCTAGGCCTTGGGGTCTGGATCCCATCACCAGGCACAGGAGCTGAGGGAAGAGCCTTGCTGGCCCTGCTCCTTGGGCTGCTCATGGTGCAGCGTGCTGCTGAGGCAGGCAATGACCACTGCTCTCTGCCTGTTCCAGGGAGACCCTGGCCGGCCTGGTCGCAGTGGACCCACAGGACCTCCAGGAGAAAAAGGAAGCCCGGTAGGTTCATGCAGCGTTCAGATGCCTCCAGTGTGTCTTTCTATGGTCTGCTCCATGTGGCACGGAGCTGGAGCAGAATCAACTGCATGACCATGCTCAAAGGTGGCTGCATGCCAGGGCATTCTGATGATCCTGCTGCTCAGCCCACCAGCACGGAGAATGCACAAGCCCCCAGGTGGTTGAGGGAGCTCTCCCACCACACGTGTCCCCACCAGCACAATGAGAAACAGGGGAGGGGACCACACAACGCTCCTGCAGCTGCCCAGAGCAAAACAAGGATGGGTCTTGAGCGTTCATCCAGAGCAGAGAAAAGCAGACAAATTGAATTTGGAATGGTTTATCTTTCTGTCCGATCCATTCACAGAATCACGGGATGGTTTGGGTTGGAAGGGACCTTATAGGTCATCCAGTTCCAACTGCCCTGAACCTGGCCTCTGAACACTTCCAGGCACGGGGCTGAGATAGCCCCTCTGGCCTTGGGCAGGGCCAGATGGATGCTGTAAGGAACAGATGACAAGCCTGGGTTCAGCTGATGGAGGGAAGGTGATACAGCATCACACTACTCCAAGGCTGGAGCCCGTGCTCGTGGCAGTGATATTTGGGCATGTAGGGTGTGTGGAAGCAGAAGCTGGGTGCTCATACCCACCTCTGCTCAAGGTGGACTGCTTGACACAACAAAAGGAGGGATGTGCACCTTGACCTCTCTTCCAACAAACTGTATTTCTTTTTCTTCTCCAAGGGACTTCCAGGCAATACTGGAGCTCAAGGGCCTGCTGGAAACAAGGGAACTAAAGGTGAAGCAGGATCCCCTGGACCCAAAGGAGAGCCTGTAAGTGTCTGAATAGGTCCCTGGACAGTGGGCACACCACGGGAACCTGATGCAGTTCCATGGATGAGCACTGAGAAACTCCCCTGTTCAGTTTGCACGCCCTGCCGTGTACATCCCAAAAGATGTGCAGATGCTGATCTCCTCTTGTGTCTCCCATCATAGAGCAGTATTCCCATAATACTAAGCCTGATGTTAACCATTTCACCTTAGAGAAGCATCCTGTGTTCCCAAAAAGGCCTGGCCTTTTTTCTCCATCAAGTTGTTCTCTAGCAAGTTCCCCAAACCTCTGGCTTCTTGCAGGAGCTCATAGAGCCAAGATCTGGTGGCCATTATGGTAGAGCTCTCTGAAAAGGGCAGTGTCACAATATCACTGCTGCCACACAGACCGAAGTTAATATGATGGGGCACTGCAAATTTTGGGGAGTGGTCTGGAGACGACGTTCCCTGGCACAGCTCCACCGGCACCACGGGACAAGAGCCCAGCCAACTTGTGTCCTTGTGGGGAAAGCAGCCTTGGATGAGCTGGAAGTAAATCAGAGTCTTTAACCCTGAGGGAATGAACCAGGAGTGTTTGTGGTCACCATGGTGACCACCCCCCTGAAAGAACAGTGTGGCTATGTCTTCCCAAAAGGAAGCATGGGCATCCCTGCTGCCAGGCACACACTCAACTAAGGGGGCAAGCATACATCCCCCAGGCCCAGGGGGAGGAGGTTGGGCAGCCAGGTGTCACTGCACAGGTAACATCCATCTTCTCACTCCATTTTTGTGACTTCCTGTATCTGCCAAGGGTCGACGAGGAGATCCAGGGACGAAAGGCAGCAAAGGCACTCCTGGGGGCGCAGGAGAAAGGGTGAGTAAAGCAACTGCCCAGACCATTGCAAAAGAGCCTGAGATGGGTGGGACTGGCGTGTGTGATGTGCTACTGCCCAGCCATCCAGTGTCCATCACCAGAGCTGGGAATCAGAGAGCCCACTGTGCTGTGCTCCCACTGTGCCCACTGCCTGCCCTGCTGGCATCAGGCACAGCCTCTTCCAGGGCTTGGTCCAGAGAGGGGATGAAGGGCACTGAAGTTCAAGGTTAAGAGGCACATTCAGAGGGCCCCCTGCCCTGACACTGTTTCAAGCCAAGAGCCACCAGATTTGAGAAGGGTATCGGGCCTTCTCACTCCATATAGCATTGGAGACAGACAGCATTGGAGACATCCCTGACCAGGAATACCTTTACCCTCCTCACAGGGAGATCCTGGTCCAGAGGGTCCTCGTGGTCTGCCTGGTGAGGTTGGAAACAAAGGAGCAAGGGTAAGCAGGGGGCAGGGATTGGTGAGAGCCAGGAGGAAGGGGAGTACTGCTGCCATCAGGGGCAGCTTGCCTGACTTCCCTCCTTATGCACATCTGCCTCTGTATGTTCTTGTGTCTTTCTTTGCTGTACAGGGAGACCAAGGACTGCCGGGACCCCGAGGTCCTCCAGGTGCTGTGGGAGAGCCAGGCAGGATAGTAAGTCATGCTTGGGCATCTGTGGTGACCTTGTCCTCCCTCTGCAGTGAGAGCTTGCTCTGCTGGCATAAGCTGCCTGCACTGACCCTTCTGAGGAGGACCTGCAGGACTTTTTCTCAGGAAGGCTCAAAAATTAGCCCAGAGGCCCCTGAATAGCCCATAGTGCAAGGAGAAGTCGCAAGACCCAGGAGTCGCTGCTTCTCCATCACACCTGGTCCCAGGTGTTTTTATGACAATATAGAAAGGACCCTCAGGGTGGGTCACTGGGGGGGAGAGGGAAGATAGGACTCCACAAGCATCCATTTGTCCTGGGCCTGTGGTTAGTCCAGCGCCCCACTGTGACAGTAGTGCTGTGACATCCATGTGGCTCTATGGGACATGGGAACCCAAGTGCTGAGACAGTCACTATCACAGTAAACTCATCAGGAAGGGAGATGGTCCTGCAGCACCATCTCAAGAGCTGGGTTCTCCAGCACAGTCACCTGGGTGGCTGGGAGAAGAGACATGGTCCATCAGGGAACATCCTCACCCCTCCCCCCACTCTCCCCAAAACTATCCTGCAGGGATCACGTGGGGACCCTGGTGACCTGGGCCCAAGAGGTGACGCTGGACCACCAGGACCAAAGGTAAAGTTCATGAACAAAACTGTATTTGAAAGGGTGGGTTGGTGTTCCTATTTATTTATTTATGGGGGGGGGAAAGGCAGTTTCCACTGCAGAAACTTGTGTGCCTTGGAAACAGAATTAGACCTGAACCTCCCTATGGGGCAGAGATGTAGGTCTTGCTCTGGCCAAGGCAGCTCTGATTACCCCCCTCACCCTGCACAGATTCAGGGGCACCCCCCGCATGTGACATCCCCAAGACCCTGCAAATCCTTGCTCCACACAGCCATTCCCAATACTTCAGGGCCAGCTGTAGAAGTCTTGGCTCCTGGTGGTGTCTCAGCCAGAGAGAAGACAAAAATGGCTGTTACTGTCACACCAGGCATCACAAGGTCAGAAAGGCCGGGTTCGGTATCTCATGGGTCTTTTTTTTCCTACCAAAGGGTGACAGAGGCAGACCTGGCTTTAGCTACCCTGGACCCAGAGGGCCACAGGTATGTACTCCTCATCCAGCACACAAGGAAGTCTGTTCCGGTGGATGTTGCTGGTGGAGCTCAGCAGCCTGAAAGAAAGGGGAAAGAGGAAGGAAAATGATCAGGGAGTGGTGCCTGTGATAAGGAGAAAGGGGGTTGAACACCAGGACTGAACCTGGCCACAGCTCCATCAGTCTCATGGAAGAGGTGCTGGGGACCTCAGCCCTCTCATGGAGGTGAGGAGGTGGCTGTGCCCGCCACCCCAACCACCAGCCTGAAGCTACACCTGTTCTTCAGCTTCTTGCCCTTCAGTGCAGACTTTGGGTGTGCCCAGTGCAGGGCCAGTACTGGTCGGGCACTGACCTCTCCCTCCTCTCCCTTTGCAGGGTGACAAGGGTGAGAAAGGGCTGCCAGGACCCAAGGTGAGTGTGTTTGTCTCCATCACCTGTTTTTTTGTACTGACTGAAATGCCAAGGAGTTGTCTCTGACCCCTCTGGGTTAATGGCTGAGGAGCCTGTCCTGCCAGCAGCTGCCCAGACTTTTCCCTGCAGCTGCAGAGCCTGGCTGTATCTCCCAAGCCCATCTCCATTTGAAACCATCTGAAAAATTCGTTGCAGAACTTCTTTTTTCTTAGTTAATGCTTGTGTAAACACTGTTTATTTGCTCTGCACTGAGCTGCTCATTTAGAGGATGCTCTCCCAGGCCAGGCAGGCATGTGTCTGTGATGCAGCAGTGCCTCTGCCTGAGCACATCCAGATGTGCTCCATACTGGATCTGTTTTTTCCTTCCATCGAGCAGGGAGCAAGAGGTGACCTTGGACCAAAAGGAGTGCCAGGGACCAAAGGAGAGAAGGGGGAACCGGTAAGCAGACTCCCCGTACTGTCTGCAGGGTCAGCATCCTCCTCCCACACCCCTGCCAGGCGTGTGGGGCTGACACTGCCCGCTCTCTGCCTGCTCCCTGTCCCCAGGCTCAGCTGTGGCAGGCTGGGGGCTGTGCTGCAAAGCAGCAGGTCAGGAGGATCCCTGAACACCAGGGGCTACATCGCCAGCCTTGCCCAGGAAATATTTGACCCTTCTTTGCTTCTTCCCCAGGGTGATCCTGGCCCAGGAGGCGAGCCTGGACCCCGTGGTCCACGTGGTGAAGCAGGCCTTGAGGTACAGTCCCATGGCATTGTGTCCAAGTTAATGCTGTTGGGGGGGACATCAGCTGCCAGATACATATGCGGCCTCACAGTGGGGCTTCCCTTCCCTTCCCTTCCTTTCCCTCCCCTCCCCCCCCCCCCCCCCCCCCCCCCTCTGCAAAATGCCACGGTTTTGATGGCTCCAGTTCCCAGAAAAGGAACTAATGGGAAAACTGTGCCTGAAATCCCTGTGCTCTTCTTACAGGGGACCCCCGGCCCACCAGGAGACCCTGGTCTCACTGTGAGTAGCCCCTCCTGCTGGGGCAATCTGTCTTTGTCATGCACAGCCTGAGAACGAAACAGGGCTTCAGGTCCTGCTGTTGCATGGCAGAGGTGGCCTATGGCTTCCCATGGGAGCCAGGGAAAGAGGGAAAGAGGGCTGACTGGGTGGGAGGGGAAAGGGGAGCCTTTTCCTTAGAGGGGTCAGAGGGAAGCATTCACCTTGCACCCCTTTTCTGGCAGGATTGCGACGTGATGACCTACGTGCGAGAGACATGCGGATGCTGTGGTGAGCAGACCATCACCTCTCCCCAGGGAAGGGGAATGACCACTTGAGGGATGGGGAAAGGGGGTCACCAGAGGGGTCATCTCATCCTTCTGCCCCATGAGCCACCCCTTGCGCTGAGCTGCCGGCTGTGGATGCTTGGTGTGCTCCTCTTCCTCCCTCCTGGAAGGACGGAGCACAGAGCACATCTTGGTCTCTCTCTTCCCATGGATGGTCTCTTCTGCCCTGGTGGCTCTTGTTCCCACCATCACTGACCCTCATGTTTTCCTCTTTCTGCCCTCCTCCCCAGACTGTGAGAAGCGCTGCGGGGCCCTGGACATCATGTTTGTCATAGACAGCTCGGAGAGTATCGGCTACACCAACTTCACCCTGGAGAAGAATTTTGTCGTCAACGTGGTCAGCAGGCTGGGCTCTATCGCCAAGGACCCCAAGTCACAGACAGGTCTGGACTGTGTGGGGACAGAGTGGGGCATGGGGAAAAGAAAAGGCTCTTGGATCTCTCCAGCTTCCATGTTTGTTTATTTTCCGTGGCCTTTCATGGCAATCGGGCAGGTCTTTGAGTTTCTCCGTTTTTCACTGAGGATGCAGAGCCAAGTAACGTGATGCTTCATTGGCAGGTGCCCGTGTTGGGGTGGTGCAGTACAGCCATGAGGGGACTTTCGAAGCCATCAAGCTTGATGACGAGCGCATTGATTCCCTGTCGAGCTTCAAGGAAGCAGTGAAGCGCCTGGAGTGGATCGCTGGAGGCACCTGGACACCATCTGCCCTTCAGTTCGCCTACAACAAGCTCATCAAGGAAAGCAGGAGAGAGAAAGCCCAAGTGTTTGCTGTGGTGATCACAGATGGGCGCTACGACCCCCGGGATGACGACAAGAATTTAGGGGCCCTTTGCGGTAGAGATGTGGTCGTCAACACCATTGGCATAGGAGACATGTTTGACCAGCCAGAGCAGAGCGAGACCCTGGTCTCTATCGCCTGCAACGAACCCCAGCGAGTCCAGAAGATGAGGCTCTTCTCGGACCTGGTGGCAGAAGAATTCATTGACAAGATGGAAGACGTGCTCTGCCCAGGTCTGTACCTGTCCATGCATGGTTCTTACTGGAACTGGAGTTTTGACCCCAGAGTTTGGGGTGGGGGGCATATATGATTGCAGAGACACTGTGTCCCAGCAGGTTGGCCAGTAGCTGGGCCATTCATGGTGGGGCTGACCTTTATGTAGCCCTGAACTAAGAGTCCTTCCTCAGATATGGGCCAGCCTTTTGGGGCAGTCCTTTTAGAGTTCCGTGTAAGAAACCTTGTTCTGCCATGCTGACTGAGCCAGCGAAGGGGGATGGTCGCACATCACTCAGTTTTCCTTGTTTCTTTTCCTTCCAGATCCACAGGTCGTCTGCCCTGAGCTGCCCTGTCAGACAGGTAAACATTACAAGTATCTTCATGCCATCTGCAGAAAGTCCAGGGGGAGAGTGCATGAGGCTCACGAGTAGGAGAGGGGGGATGCAACTCTGTCCATTCCTTTTGGATGGCAGGAGTTTGAGAAATAGTGTCACTTTACATGAGGAGAGGATAAAGGGTTTCATCTCCTGCTCTTTTCCCGTCTCTCTGAGTTCTCTGCACAGGTAGGTACAAGTGCACTGTGCAAGTGCGCCAGCATGGCTCATCCCTGATATTTCTCCCTGCCCAAATTCCTGGGAGCCACCTGGTTTTGACCTCCAAACTCAAGGCAAACCCCCCCTTGCTAAACTCTCCCACTCGTGTGACCTTTGTAGCAGGATGCTCCTTGGGAGTGACAGGGGCAGAGCAGCTGGTAGAAGTCAGTTGGAAAATGACAACACAGTGGACCCAAAGCTTTGGCTTCTCTAACGCTGGCTGTATTTGATTAACAATTAACTCAGGGTGTTGGATTAAAGGGAAAGGCTATAAGGATCCTCTGGTATCAAGAAGACAGCTGCTGCATGCTGAAAGTAGCTTGACTTGGTCACGTTTTGCTTGTTGAGGGGCAGATATACATCCCGAATTCCTAGAGATCCTGTCTGTCTGAATCCCTGTGCCTGTTTAAATGCAATAGATGCACTCTGTGCTGATACACACAAAGTTTATAGGGGACTTGAGTTTTGCCAGTTCCTGGGATTTTTATCTCTACTCTTGCCATGAATGTTTTTGTGGAGAACCCCAGTTTCAATTGAGCCTTATACAGAATATCAAATTTCATTTTGAAGTAAGTCCCTTTGCTTCCATACCAAGGGAAGGAAAACTGGTCCCAGGATGCATAGAAATTTATGAAAAGCTATAATCATTCCTGTCTAAAATCTCTCACTGGTATTTTGAGTATTTGCACCTGGCCATGCAGGGGGCACAATGTCTGATCTCCTCTGCCACATCCTTTGAGGAGCTTTGTCCTGCGAATCCATGCACAAGGAGGTGACATCCCCATGCCACACTGGTGATTGCTCAGGCGTCTTCAAAGGTTTTGGTCTTAACAGTGTTCCCATTTCTGAGGAACCAAGGCAGTGGCACACTCGTTTCTCCCAGGCTTGGGCCACCAAAGCCCTCCAAAGCAAGGTGAAGTCGGCAGTGCTTTCCTTGTAGCGCACTTGGGTGTTTCTGTTCCTGATGCAAGGTGAGAACAGTTCGCTGGTATCTGACGGTCCTGGGGACCAGAACAGAAATGGCTCAAGGAGGCATCTGAGGGGGTTCCCTCTGGGGTGAATCCCTCAAGCCATGCCGTGGGCAGACCATGTCAAGTGCAGGCAAGACCTGCGCCCTAGAGAACACAGAAGGTGGACTGATGTGGCAGGGTAGGTGTGGGCCTCCTGTCAAAGTGCCAGTAGACCCATCTCAGCATGGGCAAAAGTTGTGCTAGGTCTGGTAGATCAAATTTTAAGTAATAGGTAGAGATTCAGGGGCCCTTGGGCAACGAGCCTTCCACCCCCCACCCCGGATGGTCCGTGATGCGTTGCTGCCATCATATTTGGAAGGATTTGCAATGATCACACTTGCCTGGTGGCAAGGGAAATTGTTGGATGGGATGTGGCATAAGGCACATGAGAGAGCCTGGGGCTTCTCTGCTTGGTGCTTGACTTCCTCTGGTTCTCCAAGAGCATCTCCTACGTTAGTGCCAGTTCCCATGCAAATCCTCTGGATGGAGACCGTGTCCTGCAGAGGGCGTGTGAGTGAGCTAGTGCACATCCAGTGAGTACAATGAACCATTGTGGTTCAGCCAGACAGGCCCAGGTCAGGGACACAGCTACACCAGTCCTGTTCTTAGCCCCATGACTGTCAGAGTGGCAGTCCTGGCACTTTTAAGGGGCAAATCAGTTGTACCTCAGCTTCAGCCTGGGTCTAATCAGGAAAGCACAGAGAGGGACAGGTATCACATACACACTGTTTCCCCCTCATGCTGCCCCAGTACTTTACCTAAGGAAATCCAGATTTTCCTGGTTGTGGGAGAGACCCTTGTCTCTCATCAATTACTGCCGTACTAACAGGATGCTGGAGGGTTTAAATGCTGAGCAAATCTGACCACTCGCTTCACGGAAACCGCATGACACTCTGTGAGGCCCTTGCTAACCCATGCAGAAGGCTTTGCTTTGAGCTTTGGGGGTTTATTCAAAGTTAAATTCAGCACAGCCAGGTGCAGATGGAGGCTCTCTGGGTCCTGACTAGTCCAGACACTACACAGCTTTGGCTAGAGTCACTGCCTTGAGGCTGAGTGCCAGGAAAGGAGGTCACATAATGCTGTCCCTTAGATGTCTTTCTGCCTTACAGCATCACGTGTATGGTTTGCACGTAGTGGAGTCCAAAGCTACATGATGGGTGAATCCCATCTGCAGAAAGAAGTTGGACCCCATGGCCTTTTTCCTGAGCACTGCCCTTTCTCCATCATGCCTATGCTGGATGAGTAGGAACTGGGCAGTTAAGGTTTTGTGTAATTTTCTGAAGTCACTCAGTTGATGTGTGAAAGATTTCAGTACAGATCCCGTGGTTCTTCAGGCATAAATGGCATTAAGATGCAAAACCTGGCTTTGGTCTTTACTTCTCTGTCCTCGTTAGCTCTGTTCTTCTCTGGTGCACTGCAAGTAGGAAAGCCAGGTAGCTTTCAGAGACACAGCCATTGCCAGCAAGCCCTGAAAATATTCTTTTGACGCTCACTTGCAGATGACAGGAACCCTGGGAGCGTAAACCCACTTATTTTCCGCCCCATGGAAGAGGGAGTCAACATAAATTTCCCCAGCACCATACACTCGATCGCCCAGTTCCTAAACTCCACGCGGGAATCCCGGGACCCCAGCGTGTACACCCAGCTGGTGGCCACTTTGGCCTTTACCGCCGAAAAAGCCAAGTTTGCCACTGGAAATGAGCGGCAGGAGTGGATGGACTTGTTCATTGACACCTTCAAAATGGTGCACAGCGAGATTGTGGGGGACCCAGAGACTGTGCTAGGGCTGTGCTGAGACCATTGTTAGAGGTCACGGGGACGCAGGGGTTGAGTGGAGGTGGTAATCATGGTTCCTCAAGTGCCTGCGTGGCAGAGGGGACAGGTACATTGGTAGATGCTTTTAGTTTAGGAGAAACAGAGGCAGTGGAACAGCTTGGTTGCGCTCAGCTGGGGATGGGACACAAGGAGCAGTCCCCTCCAGCTCGGCTGGCTGATGAGCATGGCAGCTTTCCCCAGCAATGGCAAGGGATGCTCTTGCTTTGCCCGCTGCTTTTTTTGCGGAGAGTCTAACGATGCACTTTCCCTGTGCGTTCCTACATATGTCTTTGGTGACACGCTCTGAAGCATCTTCTGCATCCTCTCTCTCGGTTACTGTGGGGCTCTCTTTGGTTCCTGCAAGGCTGATGAAGCAAGGTGCAATTCCTGCTCGCCAGTGTCTCTGTGGAACCCCTCAATGGGCAGCTGGGGGTGTGGGAGGGAAGGAGCAAGCAGTACAGGAGAGGGAGCAACCCTCTCCTTCCATCGGGAGCACCTGTACCTGGGGAGTGCTTCTCTCAGAAGCTGTTTGAGCTCCCTTGGCCTTTCTCTGCTTGCACATTTGTTCTTCTTCTATCCTAATACCTGTCTGTATCCAAAAGACAGATATTCTGTTACATAGGGCCGGGTGGTCCAAAGCAGAAATCCTTGACTGTGCAGTCACACCTCCATGTCATGTGTTGTATCACACACTGAATTACCTGAGCTGTTTAAAAGCAAGTACCTAAACCTGGTGTAGCACAGCCTATTTAATCCACACCCAGTGCTGGTTTGGTTCAGAGTCCACAGACACACCCCTTGCACTGCGGGTATGTGTGTTTAGACACGGAGTGATATTTCCATCAGCTCAGGGGCCCCTGATTTTCACAAAGTTAGGCAGGTGTGTGCCATTCCCACCTCCAGTTTAACTACTCTCAAGCCATATTTAGAGGAAATGGAATTTTGTGTGCAGACACAGGAGTAGAAGTACTTATTCTAACTGGCATGGTATTTTTGCAATAAAGTCTCCTGAGCAAACAACATATGGGTAGAAGGGAGAGGTACCGTCTTCAGAAATGTGATTGGGCTGTAATATTTCCAGGTGTAAAAAGTGGAGCCAGTTGCCAAGCTCAGGCATGGGAATTGCCTCCATCTAACTTATTTCAGCGTTCTCTCAGGGTTTCAGCTCTTTTTGCACCCAGTCTGTGGGGACAAGGAGCTCAGAGATCTCTGCTATTGCCACAGAATAGAGGGAAAAGAATTCTGAGCACTTTACATGGTGTGCTCCGTGTTTTAGGTGAAGGCAAAAGGATCAGCCTGTGCCTGAGTCTGATCATAATTCTCATATTCTAGATTGTCTGTGCAAATCCAAACTCCCTATTCTGTTTCGATTTTTAGCCGAAAATTATTGTGACTTAGCCTATTGGGACGCAGGACTGAACTCAGAGTAGTTAAGCTGCTCCAGCCATGATGCCAGAGGAAAAGCCCCTAAACTTCACTGATTTGAAGAGAACATATCAGGGCTGGGACGTTTTGCTGAACAAAATGAGGATTGGGGAAGATTTCAGCAAAGGGGGTGTTGATTTCATTTAATTTCATCACACAGTGGCTGTTTATTTCACCTCCCTTGGAAATAATTTCTAGCAAAACATTGGAAACAAAGTTTTTTACCTCTCAAAAACCTTCAGCTCATTGGTGGGAGGCAGTGGGAGAGGGAGAAAATGTCTCTTTGCCTGAGTGGTGTTTGCACTGGCCCTTGTTAGACGGTGGCGGGCAGGTGAAGGGATGTTTTTTTAGCATAATGCTGGCTAATGTCTCTGATAAAACCCAATGGATTTCATCTCAGCAACAGTTCCTTCAGTGAGCTGTTGGGCAAAGGAAAGACACAGATAAGGATCTGGGTAAAGGATAGTCCCCACCTCCCCAGAGACACAAGAGGGCCTGGGAAAAGGGGAAACTCTGAAAAGGGCAGGGAGGTCAAAACCCACCTCACTTTCATCTCCACTGTCAACACAGTGAAAGAATAGAGGAAATACGAGTTCCCCAGGCTTTAGAAGAAGCAGCAAAGTAATCTGAATGGGTGGGGTTACTCTGCACATGCAAGCAATTAGATGGGTTGCTAATGGCAGGAAAATCGGGGGTATTTCTCCTTTTTTGTGCTGCCCTCCATAGACATCCTCAGCTGTGCAGTATGCTGAGCTACAGGCATTCGTGCCTTCCTATAAGCCACATGAGAAGGACCAATGCACCAATTAAAAGCACGACAGCAAGATTTTAGTTGGCCTAATTTGTGGTGCCCCCGAGAGCTTCTCTCCCAGTTAAGGACAACAATCTTTTCCCTTGCTGCAGGAAAGGGTGGTTGGGTCCTCAGCCTGTCAGAAATGGGAACCAGCTGCAGCCAGAGCATGACACCCAGCGGGACAAACCCAAAGTTTTTGCTGCCTCACATCTGTTACATTCCCATATGTTAAAGGCACCTTATCAAGCAGCTGGAAGGCAACCCTCTCCAGCTCTGAGGGCCGAGCAGCAAGTGGAGTGTCTCCGGGAAATGCTCCTGTCAGACGTGCACTGCACTGTCACTGACGCTCCGTGGAGTGATGCTGCTCTCAGCCACCCCCTTAGCTTAGCTAGGAGCTCTTAAGGCTTGCTCTGGGCCACGTGGGAGGTGGGTCGATCGTGCTTGTCATCTCCAAAAACGTGAGTATGGGGGAGGCTGTTAACACCGCTCCAACATGACGCGCAGCCCTCGCTCCTTCCCCGCTCGCTTCCACCGCCTTTCGCAGACCCTCACGTAGGTTTTGCACTGTGTGGTTGCAAGGCCTTCCCGCCTTTCCCCCTCCACAACTGCACGGAACAGGTGAGGAACCAGGAGTGCAGGTGCTGCCGAGGCAAAGTATCCTTGTGGCAGCAGTGCCTGCATAGCAGGAACTCAGCACGAGCATACCATTTAGACAACGTTTCTCATGGAAGATGGGGCAAAGGTGAGTATGTGCCTTTATTGCTTTAAAGGAGGGGAGGTAACAAGTGATAGAACAAGAGGAAATGGCCTCAAGTTGCACCAGGGGAGGTTTAGATTGGATATTAGGGAAAATTTCTTCACTGAGAGGGCGGTCAGACACTGGCACAGGCTGCCCAGGGAAGCAGTGGAGTCATCATCCCTGGAAGTGTTCAAAATACATGTACATATGGTGCTTGTGGATATGGTTTAGTGGTTAACATGGTGGTGCTGGGTTAAGGGTTGGACTTGATGATCTCAGAGGGCTTTTCCAACCATAACAATTCTGGGATTCCGTGATTCTGTGCTGAACCCATTCAGCACCAAGGAAGCTCTTTGTCAGGTTGGGTTTGCTCACAGTGCAGAAATTCAACCTAATGGGATACTCCTATCCCCAAAGTTACCCCTCCTTGCCTGAAACGGATGCTGAAGCTGGGGCTGCTCCAGAATCTCCTATTCCTTGCCAGTCATGCAACACAATATGGCAACATCTTTGGGACTTTGCCCTTTTGAGATTCAGTCTTAGAGCCACAGAACTGCTGAAAAGTGGTATGGCCATTATTCTGCTATGGCCAACTCAGGGGGAACACAGAGAAACACCGAATGCAATACACATAACTACAGAAAAGGGATGAAGCAATGGTCCCTTACTATCAGCTGACTCCAGAAATAGCTATTTTCTTCCTTTTTTTTTTTTTCCTGAGCTCATTCACTTCATGTTCATATATTCATATGCCCACTTCATGGACAGGTGCTGTTCTGCATGACTAAAGAACAATGTCCCACTGTGTTCCCCCCAAATATCAGTCTGATATCTATCACCAAAGCTGCTTTACTATGAACAGGTGCACCAAGAAAATTAGTCTTGTTTTCCACCCAATCTTTATAAGCTCTTCAGGAATTAGTGATTGCTGATTAAACTAAGCTGGGTGGAAAGCAGGAAAACAGCTTCCATCCTAAAAATCTGTGTGTGCATTGATGGCCTTAGACTGAAGGAGGGAAGGCTTAGATTAGAAAGAAATTCTTTAGGGGGGTGATGCACTGCCACAGGTTGCTCAGAGAGGTTGTGGACTCCCCATCCCTGGAAGTGTTCAAGGCCAGCTTGGACGGGGCTTGGAGCAACCTGGGATAGTGGAAGGTGTGCCTCCCCATGGCAGGGGACTTGGACCTGGGTGATCCCTAAGATCCCTTCCAACACAAACCATTCTATGATTCTATGGTAAGAATAACTCTGAAAGTAAACCACTCTCCAGAAGTCACCATGAGGTTTGCAGGTGCTGCCTGACATTAATCTCTGGATATTCCTCTCACAGATGAGAGCTGGGAACTGATGTGAGACAGTGGATGTAATTGTGGGACTGAGATGTGCAGACCTGTAATTTCATGGAGGTCATTCATAGGTCCCAGAATTAACATTCATTAAGACCTAGTGTCTGGGAGCTGAGGGCATCAGAAGCAAAGCTCCTCCATTATGGGCTGCAAAGACAGGCTTTGGCAGCAGAGTGGGGCCGGTCCTTCTTTGGACAAGGATGCACACAGGCACCTCCAGCCCAAACGGCCTGAAACAAGCCCCAGGCCTATCCCTTAGTTTTCTTATTCTCCCAACTCTTGTTGTCGTCTTCCCCCTGCAGAGCTTGCTGTGGCCCAGTGCACCCAGCGCCCCGTTGACATAGTTTTCTTGCTGGATGGCTCGGAAAGGATCGGTGAGCAGAATTTCCAGAGCGCCCACCGCTTTGTGGAGGAGGTGGCCCGGCAGCTCACGCTGGCCAGGAGCAGCAGCGACAACATGAACGCCCGGATCGCGCTGCTGCAGTACGGCAGCGAGAGGGACCAGAACGTGGTCTTCCCGCTGACCTACAACCTGACAGAGATCTCCCTTGCCCTGGCGCAGATCAAGTACCTGGACTCGTCCTCCAACATCGGGTCGGCCATCATTCACGCCATCAACAACATCGTGCTCAGCCCAGGAAACGGGCAGCGACTCGCCCGGCGCAACGCCGAGCTCTCCTTCGTCTTCATCACCGACGGCATCACGGGGAGCAAGAACCTGGAGGAGGCCATCAACTCCATGAAGAAGCAAGATGTCATGCCCACGGTGGTGGCCCTTGGGAGTGACGTGGACATGGATGTCCTGCTGAAGCTTGGCCTCGGGGACCGGGCAGCCATCTTCCGGGAGAAGGACTATGACAGCCTCTCCCAGCCCAGCTTCTTCGACAGGTTCATTAGGTGGATTTGTTAAATGAAGGGCGCGCACACATCCTCCTCTCACTGATATACACACCCCTGGTATTACCTCTTGTATTTTCTTCCCCCTGTATGTTTGCTAGCCCAGAACAGCTGCCCTCAGGGTCCTCCTTTCTAGCCAAAATCCAGAGATCTTTATTGATTTTCATGATGAAGAGTCGTGTATGTTACATTTATGGTGCTAATTAAAACCCAGATCAAAGGAGAATACAGAGCCATATAAAGCTTTACACACACCAAGCCATGACTTGCATACGTACTGTAATCCTAGGAGGGCTTATCAGAGAAGCAAGAAACCTTTCCAGTGTAGCAGGATGAATGAACAACTCTAGTTTTCAAAAACTCTCAATATCCCTCAGTGTGTCTTGCTCCTCCTTCCTGGGAGCTATAGGATAGTGTGAGAGGTTTTGCTGCCTTGCACAGTTGTCTGCAGATGCTTCTTTTGGGGGTCTATCTATCCTAAATTTCACAAATCATCTCTAAGATCTTTATTTTCCTGTGGGCCGTATCTCCCGTGATTCCTTCTCTTCATCAGAACCTGCTCATTTATTACTGCACCCAAAATCCTGGCTGAGAGGGGCCTCCTAGCATCTCACAAAATACCAGGCAGCCACCAGAGCTGCCTCCCTGTCACCCCAGTGTGCTCAAAGTGTCAATGGCACCTTCTTCCCGCCAGTATCTGTTGAGCAATGCCCAGATTTGAACTTGAATTGTGCTGTCTGCAAAAATAAACAAACCCTTTTCACCCTACCCTGAAAAAGCCTCTATATTCTGTAGTTTGTCTCATTTTATTTTTTTTTTATTATTTTTAATGAGCAGCTGGTTCTCCTGGTTCTAAGCTGATAAGTGGAAGGGAACTGACAGGCCATCTCATTCCAATCCTCCTGCCATGGGCAAGGACACTTTCCACTAGACCAGGTTGCTCCAAGCACTGGCCTTTTACGCTTCCAGGTGCCCCCTGGCTCCGCACCCTGGCAGGGCACATCCAGGCTGTGATGTCTCAGCAGCACAACACAGACAATGCCTTCATTCCTCACCTGGTTCACGTTCCTCACCTGTTCATGGGTGAGGAGATCTCAGGTGCCTCTCTTTGAGGGTCTGTGCCTTTCCCCACCACAAAGGTGCCATTGCACCTGACTTGGGATTTAAATGCATTTTCCTCAGCACATCTTGCGTCCAACACACCATCCAGGGTGTGTCACAAGTCTGAGGAGCCCTCTGAGGACATGTCCTATAAGGTGGTGGAGGTAGGATGGAGAGGAGTGTGGGTTGTGCATGGGGGACCCCAGGAATGAGTGCAGGGAAGGGCTCCTGGCATGGGCAGAAGGCAGGGATGCACAGTGCTGGGGAGCCATGTCCATCAGCACTGTGGTGTCACTGCCATGTTCCCCCTCCTCTGGAAAGGAGTGCTGTAGGGAAGGCTCAAGGGTCATAGGACAAGACAGGGCTGCAACCAGAGAGGGGCTGAAGGAATGAAATCCCACTGCCCCAGCACGCACAGACACGCAGCCAGCACTGCAACAAGGAGGGACGAGGCTGCGCTGGCAGGAAATCTGGGGGAGATGGGCTGTGCCAAACTTCGGGAGGTTCCCTTTGTCATGGTGAGCGTTTTCGCTAACAATTATTACCCTGCCATGAAGGATGGCAGCCCACATCGAACATTCCCCAGCCAGCCCCTCTACTCTAGATGGGAAAGCTCACACGAAGTGTAAGGACTTTTACAGGCACTGGGATCCGCGTTAGCAGCCGGCACCATTGCCCAGGAAAAAACACACGGACACCAGCAGATTGTGAACAAGCACATGATGACTTTCAGCAGGCTCTCCCAAAAGACAGACAATGGAGATGCTGTCCAATGACTCAGAGATTCCAGGACAAAGCATTTACAAAGTAAACCCAAGAAAATCACAGCAGGCAAAACAGTGCTCTAAAGAAAAGGGAAGGGGAACAGAGAAACACGCAGGGCAGGGCACAGCACTCCCACGAGGTGTTTGGCTTCATGTTTTGCTGATAAGTGCTGTGCTGGTGGGAGATGCCAGATGTTCAGTCAGAGTCAGAGCTGCTGCTTGAGCTGCTGGAGTGCTGGAAGAGAGAAAACAACTTTAGGGCACCAGCGAAAAGACCCTCTTTCACAGCATTCCTGAGAGGTGTTAGTGACCCTGTCGTGGGTGCCCCATATTGTGGGAGGTGTTTCTTAATTTTTTTCAAGGCTCTTTAGGTCAATGAAGCAAATTCCAGAAGGGTCGTGTTCTCTGCCAGCAAGGGCAAACATCAGAGCAGATCACGTGCAGAGCTGTTACCCAGTGAGAGAGTTTCATTTGTTTTGGAAATGCTCCCGCTTCCGATGTTGGAACTGGGGGTACGTTTAGCAGTCCCTCACTCAGACCTGCTCTGGACAGTGCCCATCCCTGTAACAGCATTTTCTGCAGAATCTACTCCCAGCACAGGGAATTGCTTCTCCTTTTGTGGTTTTTATTTTGATCATGGGATTGGGTTTGTTTTTTTTCAAGAAGGAACTGAACAGTTCCTCTGGCAAGACACTGAGTGAATGTCCATTATAGAGGCACAACTTACTCTTGGGTGAGCTGCATGGTGCCCCCTGAGCCACATCACTGCTTTAAACTCCTTCAAGGAATTTCATGGACTGCTTTTCAAATTGCTCACTTAATATGACTCATCCTTGACTCCCATTAACTTAACGGGAAATTCCATATCTAAAAAAAGCTGTTGAGGTTTTGGCAGCATGCTCCAGCGACCACAGGGTGGGACAGGAGAGCCCCAGCTGCACAGGCTGGATGCTGTGGCATGTGGGAAGGGGATCTTAAGGAACACAGCAGGAATAAGGAAGTGTCTGCTGTCGCCTCACCCTTACCTTGCCTCCGTGGTGCTTCGAGTGCTTCTTCTTATGGTGCTTCTTATGGTGCTTCTTATGGTGCTTCTGATGGCAGTCAGGGGGGCACACCTGCATTCCCGGTGGTCCCGGATGGGGGTGCCCCTGGGGATGATGGCCACATGGAGGGTGCCCATGGGGGTGGTGCCCGTGGTGGTGGTGCCCGTGGTGGTGGTGCCCGTGGTGGTGATGCCCATGGCCAGGTTGAGGGGGGCATGGGGGGCAGACTGCAGGGCCACCAGGGCAGGGACTTGTGCCGGGACCAGGGTATCCCGGAGGAGCAGGAGGGCAGACTGCAATGCCACCAGGGTAGGGACCTGTGCCAGGACCAGGGTATCCTGGAGGAGCAGGAGGGCAAACTGCAAGATGTGGTCGTGGCATACCTAGGAAGAAGAGAGCTGTTAGCAGGCAGACACAGGCTCTCTCCAGACACACAGTGCAGGGAGCTGGTGTATCCATGCACCCAAAAGGCCCCTCCCCAATCTACCTCTTCCTCACAAATGACATCCCACACCCCTCTGGTATGCAGGGAATCCCCCCAGGCCATTGCCCTGAGCTCCTCTCTGAGCCCTGATGGCTGTGTGGTACCCACAGCCCTGCCTGGCCCCATGGTCCCTCACCTTGGTTAGGGTCACACATCCTCAGTGGTCTGCGAGCTGAAAGGGAAGGACAAGCACCATCAGTCACCTCCTGCCACAGGGGCGTCATTGCCCGGCCCAGAGCTGGGACCTGACTCCTCTGTCCCACACA